TAGTGCCAAATCGCGAGGTCAACCCTTTCAACCAACCTATTCTCAACTCAGACAACTTCAACCGCCCTAGTGTGACTTCTACCGAGCGACGCGGAATCACACTGGAATCTGCGTTCATTGGACACATTATTCCACGAACTCCATCTCCTTTCGTAGCGAATGACTGTTCAATATCTCCGTAAACTTTCTGTAGGTCTTCCTCCACTATTCTTCTTATTTTGCATTCCTTGATCATGTATCTGTTCTGTCCTTCTATGATCTCGTACACTATATATTGATGGTGGCTCAGTCTCTCTTCTTCTATGACCTTTCAGCCGTTTACATAGTTTGCAATTTTGTTGGTGCTGAAAGTCAGGTCAATATAGGATTTACTATCCCGGAAGTCCCACGGAAGTCGGCACATTGCTGATGTTGTGCACTAAGAGATCTTCGTCACATAGCCATTCAGATAGAAATTGGCCCCTCTTGTCTTCCACCGGTGAGTTCCACATGGAGTTGAAATCCCCTCCTATTATTATCTCAATTTTATGTTTTTTCATATCTTGTCTGAACTCTTTCAGGAATTCATTAAAAGTGTTCATATCTGTATTTGGGGGATATGTAGCATCCGTAGATTATAAACCGTTTGATTTCAATCCAGACAAAGCTTGGTCCACTCCGTTTATTCATTGCGTATTTTTCTTATTGCATATGTATATTGCGACGTCCATGTCTTTATTCATTATTCAATTACTGTTTACGAATTTTTTCTGTTGGGTTCTGCCGTGATGATTACATCCGCTCCTTTATCTTCCGTATGTTCATACATCAAGTCAGAAGTTGCTCTACCCCTGACTAAATTACCCTGTAATACAATAATATTATTCATCCCACATAACAATAGATATTCCATGTATATTTCATGAATATACATTTAAGGATATTGTATTATGCTATGAATATGCCATGGATGTATATATCTTCTGGAGAATATTCCCTGGAAGTGCTCCTGGCGAACCTTTGATATATTTTAAGAATATTCCTTGGGAATATTCTTGGAATATCTTATAATATTCTTAGAATATCTAAGGTATATTCTATTAAGAATATTCCAGGAATAGAACCCGAGGAATATTCATAAAATATTCAGGATATTCTTAGTTTATTGTAGGAATATACAATAGAGAAACACCATAGAATATTCTTTAAATATATTTTATGAATATTCTAGGAATATTTGGAATATTCCAAGAATGTGACGAGTAANATACCATATGGTATATTCGATCGACAATATTCTTAGAATATTCAAGGGAGAATAATCCATTTATAGACATTCTATGCACATTCTTTCGGGAATAATCCTGCCATATTCATTCAAGCATATTCTATGAATATTCTAAAGGCACGTATATATTCCAAGAATATTCTATGAATATTTGGAATATATACGTTCGTTTTATGATATACAGGGAATATTCCATGAATATCTAGTGCTGTGTGGGATATTACGAGCTTGTTTCCTCACCTTTTTTTTCTTCCACGCCTCCTGTAGCTTCCTTAATGCTGGACATTTCATCGAGTCTTCTTTGTGTCCATCTACTTTTGCAGTTACAGCATCTTAGTGCACCTTAGCATTCAGTGTTCACGGAAATATGGAACTTAAATTTTGAGGAGATGTCACAGACAGAATACCTGTACCAACACATTTTGAAAATATTAATGTGACAGGAATTCTACCAGTTCCAACAACTTTTTGATATTGAATTCGAAATGTATTGTGGTATTAAAGACTATGTACAGAATACATAGCCTTTAATATGATGAGAATAAAAATGAGAAAAATAATCTGACTTCATTGTGAGATTTCTGATGAGGTTATGTCAATATTGAATGTAATGAATATTACTGAAGTTTTTTCCCCCAACACCAAATCGTTATTTTTAACACCTCGACACGTGTTTCGATCACCAAGTGATCCAAACACGTGAAACAGAGGCAGATTTTAATCTTCCTCTTTGAAGATCACTTGGTGATCGAAACACGTGTCGAGGTGTTAAAAATAACGATTTGGTGTTGGGGGAAAAAACTCCAGTAATATTCATTACTACACCAAAGGTTCCAAACAGTGCATCATAAGTATTGAATGTAATGCCAAGAATAAAGTATGGAATAATTGTGAGGAATGTATGTTGCATGAGGGCAAATATTGTTATGTAATATGAGGATAGTCAAATTCATTCCTTCAATTTGAATGTAGTATAACTATACGTGTATCAAATATTCAGACCTTTTGTGTTTTTTCTAGAAATCATTCATTTCTAGGAAATGTGGTATAATATTTCAACATTGTTATTTGCGAATTGATAGTCCGAGGTCTAAGTCAATGGTGTTTTGTGCAAGTCTTCATTTTGTTTTTGTTATTTTTGATATCACATTTGTGAGCTGTGTTGCTATGTTGTATTCGTACCACGTGCCAGTGTAAACAGTGTGATGCCCATTGTAAATAGTCCCACTGTGATTCGAAAGTGCATATAGATTATAACGATAAGCTGCCACATTTTCTGCTGCATAGTTGCTCATATCTAATCCTTCTGAAAAAAAGTCAGTGGCAACATTTAATTTGCATCCAAATATCTCTGTTGGAGAGAATGTTTTTGAATGAATTACTGAAATACTATGAAACTCATGAATTGATAGGACTTTGTGCCAATGTGTGCAATTCATAGTAGATTTCAATTGACAAATGAAACTTTCCACAATCTCAAATATTACAGCTAGGACTCTTGTGCTTTTCCGCTATCCAAGTCGAAGTTTTCAATTTTAAATGGACCTGTTTTCACAAATTCCAATGGATTTCGCTAGTGATGAACTAAAACAATCATACCACACGAACAATGTTAATGAATTTTGCCATAAATCATTCAGATCCAAATTCGGCATCAAAATTTTAATGGAAAAATGTATAAAACGTCAATGTCAAATTCAGAACAAATCATTTTGATGTCGAAAAATTCAATAATTAAAAATTCTAGAAATGGTCCGAATGGACCAGAACAAGGTACATCAACATTATTTAAAAGATTAGCTGATTTCAAGAACTCTACCAATATTGTGAGGAGAATCTCCAGATCAGCTAGAATTTGCGTCCTATCTGGAGTGATCTGGAGACATCCAGTTAAGATCTACTTACTTTCGCATTAACCCTTAATTANTTAATCGATGATATTTTCACACCCGTTTGATATGTTTCTGCAGTGAATTTTCAACTACACCAATGATGTAGAACGAAAATATGGTGGTCCAAAATTGTTTCTTGTGGAAACAGAATCAAGCAACTTTCTCAGGCCAATAAAGATATTTCCACTCATATCATTAGTATGAGATTTAGAAAGTTTCGAAAATATCTATCCTTCAAACTTCAATTCCATTCAGGATATGGCTATGAATGGATTTTCAAACTGGTGATAATTATTGATCATATTTGTGAAACAGATGAATGACAAAAAGACAAAATAACCATGGATTTGAAAGATTCGAAAGATTGCAGAATTTAACGCAACGTTCTAAGAAAAGTCACTGATTTTGATCCAAATTGTATATATCCTGAACTAGACTTTCAAATTATGTAACGAAAGAATTGAGTCGAATCTTTCATTTACATGAAGAATACAAACAACTTGAATGGAAATTTGTCTTTGCGATTTTCTCAATGACATAACTCCACAGACTGAGTAAATACTATTCATCATTCTTTTTCGAATATCCTGTTTTCCAGTCGTCTACTATCACTATAATGAGATTACTAGAAGCTTATATTGCACGAGATGACGAGTGAGGCAAGGACGTCGTTGTTGAGTTAGAACATTCAGTATTGGCCAATAACTGGAATTTTCACTGGAAGTATCGATACTGATATTTAGTTAATTCTGGTCATCTTCTTATATCTATGAATATTTGAATTTGGATCAATATTCCACACTCAGCGGTATTTTTCAAAGGGGATGTGTTAGGTTTCATAATAAATGATTTTGTAACTATTCGCCAAAATGATCAGATTTTTGTGTATTTGAATCTTTGATAATTCAAGAAAACAGTAGCAAACTGAAAATTCAATTTCAGTAGAACTCCTTTACTGAAGTATAACTATTATAATCATTTTCTTGATTGGTAAAATATTCGTCTCCAAATCATATTCTAGTTTTGCTGTGTGGGAAAGAGTAATAATGTTCAAATCACTTTTTTTCGTTTTATTTTTGAGATATCATTTTTGATATATTTTTATAGTGTTCCCTTCAGTTTGCTTCACGAATTGAGGAAATCAAACAGACTAATGGAAAATTCATTTGCACATGAAAATGACCTACACATTTTGTTAAATGATATTGATGTTTGTTTTTTTTTTCCTGTGAATCGGAGATTAAAGGTTAATAAGTTNTACTACTCCATCTTGATACAAAAAAAGAAGGATGAAAAAGTCTTCCAAAGAGAGAAAGGAAGTAATTCTATACATGATCTACACATCCATGTATAGAGTTACTTCCTTCCTTTCTTTGGAAGACTCCCTCATCCTTCTTTTTTTGTATCAACATTTGATTATCTATCCATACCTTCGTTATATCAGTTACTTGATTTATTGTTCAAATATTTTTTACTTGGTAGTTATGTTCTATAGTAAACTTCAACTTTCTACAATCAGATTCACATATTTCAATGTTGAAAAATCAAAAATTCCAAACGAACGACATAATTATGTTCGAAAAATGAAAAATAATGCTTTCTGTGTTTTTTTTCCACTTTCATTCGTAACTAACGTTACTGCGTTTTCGTCCTATAAGGACATTTTTAATAAACTGTTTATAATAATAGCTTGAAAATGTCCTCATGGAACGAAAATGCAGTAATGTTAGTTACGAATAAAAGTGGCGAAAAATGTAGAAAGTATCATTTCTCATTTCTCATGATGATTTTCCACCACGTAGCTACAGCTACATCCATCAATATAACTATTTTTGTAAAGTATGTTTTTCATCATTGAATCAAACGTTTTTTCAGCTTTGGCTTTCTGTGACTGGTCCGATACTCAAAGAGTTCGAAGAGAACTATTGAAAGCGCACACTTTTCCAAGAGCATTTACTGAGAAATTTTCCACACTCGACAATACCATATGCGATGAAATGGCCTCTATCGTATCTCAGATTCAACCTGGCGTCAGTACTGATTTGAAACTAATAATACTTCTCCATTCAGCAAACATATTTTTTAAGCATTTCTGCTCCAGAAGTTTCGAAGTATCAAACCCAAAGTTATTAGAGTTAGTCGAGAACTTCGATGAAATCTTCTACGAGGTCAATCAAGGACACGCTGCAGATTTTTTACCGTTCCTAATGCATTTTCATAAAAGAAAAATGAAAAAAATGAACTATCTCACCCACAAAATTAGAGATTTTATAGAAAACGAAATAATTGAGGACCGTTTCGAAAACTATAATCCCGACTTCGAACCAGAAGATTATGTGGACACTCTTATTCACTACGTGAGATCTGAAAATACTCCGATTCTGACTTGGGACGCAGCACTTTTTTCTTTAGAAGATATCATCGGCGGTCATTCTGCGGTAGCGAATTTTCTCACGAAAGTATTTGCTTTTCTTGTAACTGAAGGAGAGGTCCAGAAAAAAATCCAGCAGGAAATAGATTCAGTTGTAGGATGTGACAGATTGGTGAATATTAATGACAGAAACTCAATGCCATTCACACAAGCCGTAATTTACGAAGCTATAAGGCTCATAGCATCACCTATTGTACCACGTGTTGCTAATCAGAATAGTTCAATAGGAGGTGAGTAACTACTTGAGATTTATTTCTCTTATATTACTTCTGCCGTTATTTCAATATCCAACTATTGCAACATTTCCAGTCCAAGAAAAGCACTTTCTCCAATCACCAGGAAGACAATACTTTTCTCGACAGGGCGTTCCTCCCACCCAGGGGTCTCCATCTCCCGAAGACACCAACTTGGATGATGAAACTGGTGATTGGATAAAGTGAAAAAATTGGATTCATTTGCAAGAGGTACCAATTGTACCATATATAATTTGCAGTATCAATGAGAGAATTTGATTATTGAATTGTCCATCTGAACCTTATAGAAATTATTTTTCAAATTACAGGCTACAGAATCGAAAAAGGGTCCGTTTTATTCTTGAACAACTATGACCTGAGCATGTCCGATGAATTATGGGAAGAGCCTAATAAATTTTTACCAAAACGATTCATCAAAAATGGAAAACTTGTAAAGCCAGATCACTTCTTACCATTTGGAGGTGGAAGAAGAAGTTGCATGGGATACAGGATGGTTCATCTCCTGTCTTTTGGCATCATTGGCGGATTGTTACAACACTTCTCAATCATCCCAGTGGAAGGAGAATGTTATGAAGTACCAATAGGTTCATTGGCATTGAAAAAAGATACATTCAAATTTCAGTTTGTTCGACGATGATGAAGACATCATAAATATTTTATATATGATTCCATTACTAGATATTTAGTTTATTTATATCATGTGACAGTATTTATTGATGTAGAAATATTGTTGCTACTCATCAGCCACTTTTTAACGATAATCATACATTCATAATAAGAGTAGAATTGTATATTGTGAATATGATAAAAGCCAAAACCCAAAATAGAATGGATAACTTTTGAACAAAAAAAATATATCATGTTTTAAATTCAGTAAATTTTGAAATGTCAAACTTTTATCAACTGGAAAAGTGTTAATGGAAACAGACTGGAAATCTGTTTTCATCTTGAAGAAAAGATAGCTGATTTGTGAAGAAAACACATGGCCAGACATGAAAAGAAATTAGTGAATGAGTCGTTTGACTCATTCACTAATAGTTAAAATGACAAAGTATTAAAAATAATTGAAAATGAATTATGGTGAAATTTTGAAGGATTTTTGCTTTTTTTACGGTTTCTTCTTCAAAGATTGAAATGAACAATATCCCTCTTATCACACGTATACATCTTTCTCCATAGAAAAACCTTAGATGTATTGTGGTTTCTTTTTCTCAAAAAACTCAAGATGAAATGAACATCACGAATTACTTTTGACGAGTTCCTCCTTCTCTGTTTTCATTTAAAAAACTTATCAGTTTCGATTCGGAAATTCTCGGGTCTGACGGTAGCCGTTTGGTTCGACGTAGGTGCTTTGTTCACTCATTCTAATCGACCGCCGTGCTGGTCGCTGGTTCAAGCCCCAGGCTGAACGATAGATTTTCGCTTGCTCTGGTCCAACCCGTTCTCCAACCACCCACTCCAAGAAAATTACCAATTATTGGACACCTTCATCTATTGGGCGGCTATAAAATACCGTATCAAGCTTTCAATGTTCTTGGAGAAAAGTTTGGCGATGTAGTCAACTTGCAGCTGGGAAATGTCAAGTGTGTTGTGATAAATGGGCAGAAAAATATACGAGAAGCACTGGTTACGAAAGGACATCATTTTGATTCGAGACCAAATTTCCAGAGATATCAACAACTCTTCTCTGGGAACAAAGAAAATTGTAAGTATCATTTGATTATGAATTGAAGAGGTTATATTTTTTAGGAGTGATTAATTTTTGGAAAAGAAAGTTTTTGTCATTCTACTACTCCATCTTGATACAAAAAAAGAAGGATGAAAAAGTCTTCCAAAGAGAGAAAGGAAGTAATTCTATACATGATCTACACATCCATGTATAGAGTTACTTCCTTCCTTTCTCTGGAAGACTCCCTCATCCTTCTTTTTTTTGTATCAACATTTGATTATCTATCCATACCTTCGTTATATCAGTTACTTGATTTATTGTTCAAATATTTTTTACTTGGTAGTTATGTTCTATAGTAAACTTCAACTTTCTACAATCAGATTCACATATTTCAATGTTGAAAAATCAAAAATTCCAAACGAACGACATAATTATGTTCGAAAAATGAAAAATAATGCTTTCTGTGTTTTTTTTCCACTTTCATTCGTAACTAACGTTACTGCGTTTTCGTCCTATAAGGACATTTTTAATAAACTGTTTATAATAATAGCTTGAAAATGTCCTCATGGAACGAAAATGCAGTAATGTTAGTTACGAATAAAAGTGGCGAAAAATGTAGAAAGTATCATTTCTCATTTCTCATGATGATTTTCCACCACGTAGCTACAGCTACATCCATCAATATAACTATTTTTGTAAAGTATGTTTTTCATCATTGAATCAAACGTTTTTTCAGCTTTGGCTTTCTGTGACTGGTCCGATACTCAAAGAGTTCGAAGAGAACTATTGAAAGCGCACACTTTTCCAAGAGCATTTACTGAGAAATTTTCCACACTCGACAATACCATATGCGATGAAATGGCCTCTATCGTATCTCAGATTCAACCTGGCGTCAGTACTGATTTGAAACTAATAATACTTCTCCATTCAGCAAACATATTTTTTAAGCATTTCTGNAACCGTATTGAACACAATATTGAACCAATCATAATTCACTTTGATGATAGCGGTAGCAACAGTGACGAATCTGAGGTTGAAGATTAGACGAAAATTTGTACATTCACATTTATATTATATTCTATTATTAAAAATTTGTAATTTGTATTTTCTAGTGATATTGCAAAGTTTCAATGAAATGAATAAAAAATGTGTATGAATATTTTAACTAATTGTACTAAGAATTTTTCTTTCATTCTTCTCTCAAAAATTAATAAGCACGCGTGCGATTTGCTGTCAACTGGGCTTACTTCTACTCTCAATCATTATTGGTTTTAGTATAGGTTTGCAGTTGGATTGTTGCTGTTTCATTTCGGTTTAGTTCAGTTCGTAAAGTATAAGTTGTGCTCAGTATACATCAAAAGACAAATAGGAGGTTGTTGGACGATATGAATATGGAAAGCAAACATTGTTGCAGAGACGTTGGTTCTAAAAAAAGAATGAGTTTGAGCATAAGGCAAATTAGTGCAAAAATAAGAATCGCTAGGCTATCCAAATACAAATAAGTAAAAAATTTTTATTTTCAAAGAAATACTTTTGTGAACCGAAACTAGAATTTTATTGGAGAAGTGAAAAGTTTATTTACGCCGTACATGAAGTAAAAATTTTACGCGTAGTTTATGAAGTTCAACTTCATGCATTAGGGTGTGAATTACACTTTTTGTACTCACAACATATCATTCATGTGTTCCATGAATATTAAATACGTGTCTTATTCTTCATTATTTTAGGTCCAAAAAGAACAATGTAACGAATGAGTTGCCTTAAATTTTGGAAAATAATAAGAATAACGATCCAAATATAGAAAATATATCTTCAGATCAATTGGAAAGCGATAACAGAGAGAAATCATCATCAGATACGGATTCTGGTGAAGATACAAAAACCCAAATGAATGGTAAAACCAATGAATGTAAAAAAAAATTTCAAAGACACTGTTGAAAAAGAAATTAATTTGGCTGGGAAAATTATAGATATCGACCATTTTTTCAATGCACTGAAAATAATTTCACTTCCAGAAAACCATGATCCCGGTACGGAATGCACTCTGCAAAATATTGTTATTGATGAACGTCGTTCTGGATTCGCATCGACTATAAAATTGAAATGTAACATGTGCAATAGATATTACAATATAAAAACTAACTATGATGCCGAAGGAGTGAATGAACAAGCGGTTTTGGGGACCATGTCAATAGGATTGGGATACAAAAATGTTGAAGAGATCGCAGCAACATTAGAAATTTCTTATGGATCCTATCGAACATATACAAACTCAATGATAACTGATATGAAGTTTACAGGTGAGTGAAATTCATTTATCAAGATAAGATTGGAATTTTATTAGGATATTCAAATTAAAACATTGACGGAACGTGAATTGTATACTAACTGATCATTTTCTTTCAGCTTCATACAAAATAATGATGGTCCCAGTCAAATATCTTGCTACGCATTCCAAAAGTTTATCATATAATGTCGATACGAATACTGTTGAACTATTAAAGGCTCGTCTGAAAGCAGCAATGATCAAGGAATCGGGTGCTTGGCTGAATGCTTTACCTGTTGCATCTTTTGGAACACTATTAGACGATGAATCTTTCAGAATAGCAGTAGGACTTAGGATGGGTTCATCTATTTGTGTGCCTCATACTTATGTTTGCGGTAATATAGTTGATCTCAACATCACCAATTGAACGACATATTGAAAAGAGCTATGTTGTCAGCTGATGTTCTTGCAATTCTGGAACACTTAGTAACCAGTCGAGATGATGGTAAACGTCCAGATGGTATGTATCTCATACCATGGAAATACGGTAAACCTGTGGTATGGGACATCACTTGCGTTTACACGGTCGCGGCTTCCCATCTAGCCGGAAGTTCGAAGTCTGCAGGGACTGCAGCATTGTCTGGCGAGAAATTGAAAAGAAAAAAATACCAAAATCTTGGTAACAACTATCTGTTCCATCCAGTAGCGGTTGAAACTTTTGGTGTTTGTGGCCCGAAGTTTCTGTTATTCCTTCATGAACTCGAAAGGAGGATAGGCCAAGCAACGAAAGATCACCGTTCTAACTCTTTTTTGATAGAAAGAATTAGTATTGCTTATCAACGTGGCAATGTTGCTTCGGTCCTTGGAACTATTCCTCCTTCACANACAATGAATATGTCTTCCGCCTACTCCTATCGAAAGTATACATTTCTCGACCTCATTGTAGGAAGCAAAGTCGTACTTTTCCTCCCTGAAGTAAAAGTGACGTATGGTATGTCATCTTTGAAATAACTCATTGACATTGACAACCTAAACTACTTATATTTTATTATATAAGTATACATTTTACCGTTCATTTATAGAACACCCTCATCCTTGTTTTTTGTATCAAGATGGAGTAGTAGAAAGCCAAAAACTTTCTTTCCCAAGAAAACCCAGTATTTTGCAAAAAATGACAGAAATCAGTGGAAGGTGAAGTATTTTTAAAAAGTAAATACTTATATTTAGAAAATGAGTCAGATGTCACTAGACCTACAGCAATACAATATGTTAAAAATTTCGCAATCTCTCGGTGGCGCAGCAGTTTGATGCAAGTCAAGTGAATACGAGACTCTCAGACCCCTTGCACCTAGATTCTGAACGAAAAATTGAGTATATAGTTTAAAATGAAAAACTCACAGAATAACCTAGATCGAACAATAAATGATTATTTTCCTTTTTTTTAGTGTGTTTGTTTGTATGAAAGCTTTTGTTTGGAAATGTTTTTTTATAATTTTTATTTCTCTTGGTGTTGACAACTACAAATAACATTTTTCCCCCCGTTGGTTGGGCTACCTATCGGGCGCGTCCCCAGGTGGCGGATAGGGGAACGGCCAGGACACTGGAAGCCCTGTCCGGGAAGCCAATGTGGCTTTACGGACGGGGTTTCCGGACTCCTGGTCAGTGGCAGAAATAAGTAGGGTAAGGGGAACTAAAACCCCCCAAAAGCCCTGCAAAACATGCCACCGCGGACCAGCCTACCAAAGCTAAGGTGTAAGGAATCGTGCCGAC